AACCCGTACTGACAAGCGTGGTGAAGTATGGTCAAACAACCCCCGTGACCAGGGGTCGCTAACCTGTGGCTCCGGAGTCGCGTGCGGCTATTTACGGATTGCTTCGTGACGTTATTCATTAAGGACCACCGTCTCATATTCGCATGCGTTGCGGCTTTTGAAATACTGTATTGTTTTTACCGAATTATACAAAATAAATGGCACTTCCTGTTATTTTGGTTGCCGACCCCTGCCCATGACAGACACGGCACGGGGAGATCTCCATCCAGCAGTGGATTAGCAAATAGCTGTGCATATATACATATACACGTCCTGGAGTTCGTAACCAGCACACTCTGCTAGATTGACTCAAGGAACACAGCTGGTTTGTGTGGAAATATTTCCCAAAATAATAAATTTGAGAGTGTAATGCGTAAATATTTATCGTCCCAGAGAAGGACGCTGCGAAATCATGTTTATTTTGAATTGCTGGATTGGAAAGCCACATTATGAATAAATAAAGCAACAGTGTTCGTACACACACACCAGCCATACACACAACCACTGCCATTAGCCACTAAGTGGTGGTGATGTAACGACGACTCTTGTGCCAAGGATAGATTTACTTTGAAGTCGTCACGTGAAGAGGCAAACGAAGGCTCGTTGGCAAGAAGTCAGGGGACCGGCCCCAGGTGTTGTGTGCTCACTGGATGGGGTGGCTAGCAGGTGTACCGCACATACAAGTATACACATGTATACACAAACTAAAGACGAAGTTCCCCCTATTGCCGTAAAGACTTTAGACGCAAGTGCTGTTTAGGGAGCGTTCGTGTTTTTTTTGGCCGGTAGTGGTGGCTATGCACGCCTGTAATATCCAGCACAGCGGAGGCAGCAAGGTTTTGTGGATGACAAGTGGGCATTACCTGGTAAATAAAAGTTCACCAGTATTGTTCAAGCAAGCCTGACTGCTGATGAGACACCGAATGTTGAAAACGATCTAGAGTTTTGCTTGTGCTGAACCAATGCTGGCCGAGATTATTCACTCCCAGAAGGCCGTGGCGTCCGATGGAGTGTGTAAATTAATACTTTGCATTTTTTTGTGTTTTTTTGCGTCGAGGGACAAATATGTGAAGGAGGCATAGTGTCTGCTGATAGATTTTGTTAACCGGACAGCCCAGCTCTTACAAAAGTGGCACACGGATCATGCATAGCTGCAACTCTCACGTTGACATGTTTGGATCTGCACTGCTGGGAGGATATGGGGGCAGGTGGTGGGGGGTCATGATGAGCATTCTTGGTTTAATTGGCACCTTGGGTGCAACATGTTAATCATCCCCTTGTTCAGTCAAGCCTTTCCCACCTGCTGCTTGCTTCTTCCTGCCGGGGCTTTTTCGAAGGTGTTTCTGCGATGAACTGGCATTTTCTCGTCTGCCCTTGGGTTAATTACACACAACGGGGGAGTGGGGGGAGTGCGGTGAACACAGAGACACATGGAGACAGAGGAGGCATGGGTGCTGTGCTGTAATTGGAATGCCACTGTCATTCGATGCACGCATTCATTAGCTACCTCCATTATATCCTTGAGCCAAACATCTCCTTCATGAAGCAAATGCGACACTCGAAACCACACACACAATGTTCGTAATTAAATTTTGCTCACTGTGAAAACTTTAGTTTGATGCTCTACGTTTTTTATATTGAAACATGAAATGAAATGCTGCATAAATAATAATCATCATAAGTTGCAGCCCAATTTCAATCCACTGCTGGATAAAGGCCTCCTTTAGCAGTCGTATGTACGTATTATGTTGAACTTCTGTAGGTTCAGTCATAGGCGATGCTTAATGTCAAGCGGAACAGGACCAAACAGTGATGTTGGCACACCACATCGCTTTGTTTTGTCCTCCTTTATAGAAAGCTGCTTATATGATTATAGGAATATAGGGTAGGATAGCATCGGGTTATATGGATGGGCACACCTTGCACTTTTGCGGTAGTGCCATATGCCAATGTAATCCTTCCTCCGAGGCAGTGTTCCAGAAAATATAGAGAGATTACTTAAGCCCCGGTGATATCTCTCGTCTGACCACGGGATATTTAACGCCCAATGTGAAGCAGACATCACTCTTATTAATAGTTAATATACCAGCAGCATTAACCAGGGCGGACTGTCGCATTCAAACCGTGGACCTTTGCAACAAGCAGTGAGCGAGCTACCGATGGGCCATGTCACGGAAACTGTGTATAAGAAACGCTCAACTAACATCAGGATTCTCTCTCATCATTTTAAAACTGTAACGCTACCTTTTCCCTCAAAGGGGTTAGCGTTTGTGATGTTATAACAATAATGCAATTTCAAACGCCCAGTGTTTGACGCGTCTTCACGATCCAATTACTTGCAATGAGATATTATCTTCACATCATTTATTATTCGCCTTAACCAAGGCGCTTTACAGAGAATTAACAACTGTACGTATGGATGTAATGGTGGCGATGAGGTGAATAAAATAGATGAAGAGGAAGCGATGGGGGCCAATCTGTGATGCGTCAATTTGGTGAAAGCGAAATTTATTACGTTAAATGATTATACATGGAATGAATGAATGAATTGGGTTTAATGAGAGAAAGCCATGTAATGAGAATATGAAGAGGGGACAGTAAAGGTGGTGGTTATGAGGTGGATTACGGGGTCGTGGGGTGAGCTATAGAAAATAAGTGAGTTATTATTTTATTGTTTCCCTTCTACGTGACTTTACCGAGAGAACCAAGAATATGAGGGGAAGTTTGTTCCAGTGAAGCGAGGCGAGAAGAGAGATAGCGACTGCATGGATTCAGCACAAGGAGGAACAGAGAGACAGAGACAGTAAAGATTGAGAACGAGGAGGACGAGAAGGGACGTAGAAAAACACAAGAATAGCGTTCTTTTTCGATTTAAAGATTTCGTGACTGCAAGGATTCATCTTCTTTGGTTCTTTCGGTAAAGTCACGTAGAATGAGAATAAAATAATAAATTGATAAAATAAAATAACACAATAATATTCTCACGACGTTTTGGCCACAACACAAGCGGCCTTCATTAGGTGAAGGGACGAGACTGTCTGGAGGACAGCTCTGGAGTGAAAAAGCCACGCTCAGATCACGACCTTTAAGCTCAGATCGCGACCTTTAAGCTCAGATCGCGACCTTTAAGCTCAGATCGCGACCTTTAAGCTCAGATCGCGACCTTTAAGCTTAAAGGTCGCGATCTGAGCGTGGCTTTTTTCACTCCAGCGCTGTCCTCCAGACAGTCTCGTCCCTTCACCCGATGAAGGCCGCTTGTGTTGTGGCCGAAACGTCGTGAGAATATTATTGTGTTATTTTATTTTATCAATTTATTATTTTATTCTCATTCTACGTGACTTTACCGAAAGAACCAAAGAAGAATAGCGTTCTTCATTAAGTGTTGGAGACGACCTTTCACGTTTCACTCGTTATCGTTCTCATGGGTTTAGAGCAGCGGTCGGCAGCCTGCGGCTCGGAAGCCACGTGTGGCTCTTGAAGTATTGAAGGTTTATCTTTTTTTTTATACCAAAGGGGCCGTCCATAAATGACGTCACGCACCTGGCGGGGGGGGGGGGTCAGACATCTGTGACGATGTGTGACGAGGGAGGGGGGGTTTGAGAAATGTGACGTCACATCAAAAGCGCAACTTTAAATAAATATAGACAACACGTTCTACTTAATTAGACGTTTTAATGTTTTCTCCTACAACATCAGAGTGCAGCGCCACATTAAATACGCATTACAATGACAATAGTTTAAAGCGATTTGAAGCATGCTTTATTTTGGGAGGGGGGGGGGCAGAGCTTTGTGACGTCATATTTGAGGGGGGGGTCTGACTTTTTGTAACGCCACGTGACGAGGGGGGGTGTCAAAAATCGTCCAAAATCGCGTGACGTCATTTATGGACGGCCCCAATATTCAAATTCTGAAATGTGTTGAGATGAGATAAAATGTAAATCGCTTTGAGGAGCCTATGCAAATAGCTGGGCATATATCAAAACAAATCATTATTATGGGGATAACCTTAAGTGTGTTATGTTATCATTATAAAATGTGTTAATAATTATTATTAAGGTGTGTTAAATGTGCCGGTGCAGCCTTGCATTCGCTTGCTCACGCCACTAGAATGAGCAAGAGAGCTAGTTTTAGGCCTGCTCTTCCACTCTAGAGCAGTTGTTGGTTTTCAATTAACAATGTACTGTATGTGTAATGATCGAAATAAGCAACCACTCACCCCAAGCCAAACAATAAATAAGGTCTCTGATTGGTAGAATATGAACGTTACACTCACGCAAGATGGCCTTTGCGGTTAAAAATAGACAATTTCCTCACGTAAGATGGCCGTTAAAATGCAAAGGAAAACGATAAAACACGAACGTTCCTCACGCAAGATGGTCGCTACAATGTAATCCGAGTTTGCTTGACTTTCTCTCATGTAAGATGGCCATCATAACGAAATGGGGGAGATGGAGGAGACGGAGACATTGATTTCTCACGTAAGATGGCCGTTACAACATAACGAACGGGAGGGGTGGGTGGAAAGACACGTTGTCTCCCCACGTAAGATGGCCATAACTATTATTACTAACAGGGGTGGGGGAAAGAGAAACATCGACTACTCACATAAGATGGCCGTCACATTATAACGAACAGGAGAGGTGGGGGGGAGAGAGAGACACACACATTGACTCCCCACGTAAGATGGCCGTACACATTTTATACAACGAGAGGGCTCGTTGTTGTTTCCCTTCAACGTGACTTTACCGAAAGAACTAAGAATATAAAAACGAGAGGGCTGTTTGAGACACCGATTCCCCACGTAAGATGGCCGTCATAACATAATGAATGGGGGGGGTAGGGGAGAAACAGACATCAACTCCCCATAGTAAGATGGCCGGCTAAGTGCTCGCGGTTTGGAGTGACGTCTCCTCTCGGGTCCCCGTGACGGCCCCTCACCCCCTCGGGGTAGTCTGGGAGTGGGTGGTGGCGGCGGCGGCGGGGGGACGGCTCCGACGACTTCACTCGAGCGGCGGCTGCGGCGGCGGGGTCGCTCACAACAAAAAAAGGCGATCCGAGCGCTTAAATTAAATCACAATTAACGATTGCAGATAACCTTACGGCGTTACCGGCAGCGAAATAATGCTAAGCGTCGCGCTCACAACGCTGTAGCATTGCGAGCGTTTTTTCGTTTTATTATTGTCAGCGTTGCGGTAACAAGGTTATAAGAATAACTCTCATACAGAGCAAGGGAGAGTGCGCGCGTCTAAATTGTAAGGCGATTATAATTATTAGCATTATTTTTAATATAGCTAGTATAGTAACCATAACGATAGCATCATTGTCAGGCTCTGTAAAGCAGCAGCACTTGCTTATCGTTGGTGCATATATAGATTACACAATTAATGTTTGACGTAATATATAACTGGTGTTTGCAATAATTGTAATAACTATCAATGCGTTCACAATAGTAACATCGACAGACAGTCGCGTAAGCAGTAGCGCACGAGTAGTTTAGCATCTTGAGTTGCAATACGTTTATAATTATTCACAGTTATAATTCGCATAATACAACATCGTGTTGGTTAACAGGCTTGTTAGATAACACGAACTCTTGACTTTCAACGTATCTGCAATAATTACCGCCACTTATCATTGCCGCACAAGCAGCATCTCCTAACGACGGAGATAGCATCGGCACGGCATCGTTCTCACGAGTAGCAGCATCAGCAGCACTGCTGGACTACGTGTCGGTGATGAACTTATAAGAGACCATAACCAGCCTCTCAAATTACAATACAAAACAGCAACTTACACAGCGACAACGACCATTTGTCTACCCATCACATTATTGACAATCACAATTATTTACAATATACGACACCAGCAAAAAAATATCGGCAGTAACAACAGCAGCAGCAGTAACAACAGCAGGAACAGCGGGTTGCACCGAACTCCCATAGGTGATGAATATACAGATACCGGACGGACTCACGGAGCTCCTCCAGACCTTCACTGTGGAAGTCCTCCGCAAGAGACCGGCGGACATCGTCTCTTTCGCCGCGGACTATTTTGTCCAGCTCAAGGCGGCGCGGCTGGGACCGCAGGGCCGAGATGGGAGGCAGCAGAAGCAGCAGCAGCAGGTAGATGACCTCGTCTCCCCTCCTCTGGTGGCCCCGGGTTCTCCACCTGGCTCCCGCGAGTCATCCGCCTCGTCCCCCGGGTCTTCGTCCCCGCCTGCCGATGGCCGAGGAGGTGGCGGAGGGCTTCTGGCGTCGCTGGTCAACTTCGTGCCAAGGGGCTCGGTGGACCGTGATGAGGACGGTGATGATGATGACGACGACGAGTCGGATTTTGAAGGTATATTTAGGGTGTGTGTGTGCGAGAGTGAGTTCTAGGGGTGGTGTGGCGGTGTTGTTCAAGTTGCAAGTATTAATCTTTTTTAGTTTAACCGAGAATTAAGAGACCAGGATTAATCATTTGCAAGAGTGACCTGGGGCAATTAGCTCCTGGACGTATTGCCATACGCAAGAGTTGAATAGAAACCGGGAAATTAGACTGATTGCTATGCATAATCCCAATTGAGTTAATATGCGGCGACTACTTTTCGAATTTCGCTAGTTTAAGAGGTGGCATCAGGAGCAGCAGTGCTTCAGCAGCAACATCTGATAGTTTGACGGGAACAATTGATCAGAAAGTCCGTTATCATGAGCTTAGTTTAATCGTCATGGTCATCGATATCATCGATTGCATCAAATTCATCAGCAGGAGTTGCATTGTCATCAGCTTCATCATCATCAATGTAGTAGCACCATTTCCAGTAATGCCAGTCACAATCCATGAACAAAAACGTTATTCTCATCACGAATTAGTGGCACTTTAATTAATATCGTTTTCAGCAACTTGATCGTCAGCAGCAGTATCATGCTCATCACCCTAATCGGTATCTGCTTTAAAGTATATTTGTATTACTCCTTCATCTGTGCTTTAAGAATGTGTAGTAATAGCAGCAGCTAAATTTATCAAATATGCTCATACCCATCATAATAAACGGAATTTATAAACTATCATCAGCAGCAGGCATAGTCATCATCATTTGCAACTCTTACCAGTCAGTGATCTGGGCATATTACTGTATATCTTACGATCTTCCCGTCATCAGTCTGCTCAAAGTCCTCATTTCATCAACTCTGACCGGTTTTTTTTTACCTTGGTCATCACTCCACAGCGGTGGCGCAGAGGTTAGCGCACGGTGCGATACGACCCTGGCTGAACCGAGTTTGATTCTTGACCACGAGTGATATCTCAACCGCTCCTGGCCCCGGAGAAACTCTTTGCCAACACACTGACCAGCGTGGTCAGTGACACGGCATGGCTCCCATGGATCCTGGTGCAAAGAATTAAAATGGGCACTCCTTGTACCAGTGTCCATAAAAAAAATTTGTAGTCCGGTGCTTGTGCCTCCAGCCTATAGACCCCCCCGCCCCCCCCCCCGGTGCAATTGCAACATTTTCCACACTTGGCAGCGACTCCTTTGGGCGTGATGAAGTCTTGTCAGACGACTCCCGTGGTCAATGCGGTGTGGATGCAGCATTGGATTGTCAATAGGTTATGTAAAGCTAGACTTTAGTACATACATAACACCAACTAAGTCCCCATGCCCGCATGTATACAGGAGCCAGTCTTCTTCCATCGCCTTGTGTACAGATCATCCCCTGTCATCCTGGCTCCTTCAGTTCTGCTTGCCAGCTTCCTAACATCCATCATGGTTCAGATCTCTTCTCGCCTCCATTCGCAGTAATCGTGATGATCATAATTACAGTTATCAATATCATTCCTGCACATGGATTATGTAAAGCTTTGCGACATGCATCTGTTCTGGGAAGTACTTTATTGTAGCCGACGGGTAGCTGTCGAAGCCAAACACGTTTTCATGTTTTAAATATTCCTTTGAATCCTGGTTTGTCATAAAGGTTTGGGCAACCCTTTGAATAAATTTGTCGCGTTTCCAATGGGACAAGTCCCACACTTGATACTAACGATGAATTCACATTTGGAGCATTTAAATAACAGTTACAGCCCCCCACCCCCTGTTTCAGACGGACAGCGATGATGATCAGATGCTTTTAACTTCAGTTGGAAAGGTTAAAAACGCCTAAGTTGCCCCCATCTTTATTTGCGTGTAAATCTCTATGGTAGGTCTCTGTGCTAAAAGCGACACATTGCAAAAGCACAGCCACTGTGAAAGTACACAAGGTAGTGCTCAATGTTAGGACCTTAGAAGGATGTTGATGTTTATGATGGCGATGAACGTGATGGTTAATGATGAGCCACGTTGACCCTGGCCTGAATTTGAACTTGCAATCTCACGACGCATGCTCTTCCACCAACTAAGCCACGCTTTTGACACCGTTATTAGGCGCATAATTATTACAGTTATATCACCGCCAGTATTTTGAGTGACCCGTAAATGATCTGGTTAATCGGCAACGTGAGTCAAAAGTAGTGAGGGCTCTTGTAACATGCTGATTAAATGATATGACCAAATCGCTAGGAATGTGCCTGATCCAATTGGATATCGGAAGATGATCAGGATTGAGCTTGGAATAATTGCTTTCATGGGTGCCCACTCTGTACAGCAATATTTTTACAGGCCCCTGGACTATAAGGGAGGCAGAATAACATTGCAGCAACATTATTTTCTACTGTACTTCTTTACTGCCACATCCACGCTTCCCCGCCTTGACCTACTTGCTCATCAAAGTGGTGATTTTACGTTTCATCATCTAAATCCCACAACACCCGCGGTGCGTGGAGGCCCTCACCCAGCAGTGGATTGACAAGGGCTGTACTGACACACAATGTACTGTACTCAGGATTGTGTTTTACGATTCCTCTTGTGTACTCGACTGTCTTTTGAAAGTGTTTGGTCTTGCAATGCCTCTCGAATATTTATTTATGGACTCGGGGAGCAGCGGCGCAGCACACTTTCATATGAACCTAACAATCTTAAGGTTTATTCTGGGTCACGGCCAACATCAGGTGGCGGGTGGTATCTGAAATTATCTTTGGCCTCCCCATCAATAACCTGCAATGAACAATGTGGTGAAGTATGGTAAAAAACCCATAACCACGTGGCTTGATGAGCTCTTCAGTGCACTGACAGATGGCTGTAAATTCTAAACTGAGTGGATGGGTGTTAAGATTATTGACACACTGCGTTGTAAAAAAAAACAGTGTCACAGCACAAAACTACTGGCCCAGTTTACGGAAACAAACGAATGTTTTATTGCAGGACCCTCCTGAAAGATAGTCTCGAGACTCATCCAAGGGCTCAGTGGAAAAAAAACACAGCATTGTAATTGTTAAACAACCATCATTCTCTCATGTTCGAGTGCCACTCCGTGAGTGCAGTCCACACGCTTGGCCACCACTATCATCGACTCAAAATCAGCACATTGCCAATAATGCACATGTCGTGCATTTCTGGTGTGTGTGTTGTGTGTGGGTTCGTTGCCTGACTCTTCTGATAAGTGGATTACATCGCAGGCAACGCGATGTCCCCGAGTGTGACCTTAATAAGGCCCCGTGCCATCCAAATGCGATTAGCGAACATGAACTGGTAGCAGAACTTTAATCTCAGGCAAATACTGTAATCTTGATGTGTTGTATTATTGTCTAGCCACACAATATATTGCCAAGGTGTGTGTGTTTGCCCCCTCCCCCGTCTGGCCTCCACACCTGGTTGGCTCACAAGTGAAGACATTAAATTTATCCCCCTATTTAAGAACGAAACAGGAAGATTTCTCCACAAATCTGGCTGTCACCTGATGATGCGAGTTGTAATGACTGGCGACACGTCGTACTCGAATTGTAAATGTTGCGGTTTTACTCTCCAACACACTGGTGTGCTGTACTAGTAACGAATTAGCATGTTTTGTTTATGTGACAAAGCTTACTAATTGGCTGTGTCAGGTGGTGGCGGGTTTAACGACATATTTACGTGATCTAACCCAAAAAACCTCTGGGTGTATGTTTGTGTGTGCGTACTGGTGTGGAAAGTGGTAGTGCAACGGTTAGTGCCACGAACCCGCCGACCTGAGTTCGATTCCTGCTCACGGCCAACATTGGTGACGAATATCCTAGCCTGGGCCTCCCCTAGTTCCACACAGTTTTTAAAATGAGTACCCAGTGCGGTGTCTAAACATCGCCACTAGGCATGGTGCTGGCCACCCCCTCGTGTGCCGTGCCGGCCTTATTCGGTGCTCGCTCACAGCGCTTGTCCCAACAGTTTGTCAAGGCTAAACGGGGGATTTTTGTTTTTGTGCGTGCGCATGGTCTTGTGTCGATACCGTTTGCCGCGGTGGTGTTTAGTTTTTGGGCGGACGTGTTGAGCGTTATCTCTCACTGGGCATGCTCCCCGCCGGCTCTGTTCACAACGGCTCAGCCGCCTGGGTCAGTGCTCCGTGCCATTGTCCATGCTGGTGTCCGAACCTTGATGTGAGATGGGAGCGTGGAATTTCTCCCCTCCCCAGAAATAACAGCTGCCTCAATGTGAAGGTCACGAGGCCAAGTCCCCTTTTTTTCCTTGATAACGTCAGTTAAGCTGGGGTCTTGCAAAAGCAGTGATGAATGTGATGGCTCGAAGCTGTCTAAAATTGAGGTCACTCTGGTTCCCGTGCTGCACACAAAGGGATGCCCGCGTGTGTTTTTGTGTGAACCCGTATTGCAAAAACAAAGAAGAAACATCATGCATACGTGTGGCTTACGCACGCTTTCCCACACGCTGGCCCACGATGACACAATGGGGCTTGTATAGCAGCTCAGCCGGGGAGGGTTCAAGCAACTCTTTGATCAATTTCCTTTCTGCTAAAGTTTTGTTCACATTAGATTATCTTTACTGTAGTTTGCCTGTTCCGCCCACAATTGATAGACGGACAAAGCTAATGCATACATACTTTTGACCTTCATTGGAAAGCTTTCAAAAAACAACTTATCCTTGGTGCCTGTGTCCCTGAGCCTGGCACGTACTGGGTGTTCGTCAGATATGTTGCCATCCTAATCGGCCACGTGTGAACTGAACGATTGCAAGCGTTGACAAGGGTCGTTAGGACAAGCTGTTTTTATTGTAATTTACTACTGTACGCGAAACGACCGAATGCTGTAGTGCGGGCCCGAGAAGGCCAGCACTGGTACAACAGGCGTGAACCGCATAGCGGGGCTGATGGTGAGATAAGCTTGCCATTGTGCAAGAGCCAGGCCCATATTGTCGCTTCTTTCCACGTTTTTCCTCAACTGTAGTGGACATCACGAGGTCCAATGATAATCATAATAATTCATGGCCTTTTGGCAGCTACTGC